AATCCATTGGTGCAAAGAAAACATACAGTTGTTTTTAAGAAAAAAATATGTAATTTGCAATTAACAATTCCATATTTTTTCTTAAAAACAACTGTATGTTTTCTTTACACCAATTGATTCCTCTCATTATTTTGTACATAAAAATATTAAGGTAAGATAATCGAAAAATGAATATTTTACAAGATATTTTATGGTTTATGTAAAATTAGGAAATTACTTCAAGCCTCATAATTCGAAAAGTACTTGATGAAAAAATGTTTATTTATAGTGTTTTGGAAAGCTCTCGAGATAAGCTACAAGAATATGCAAAAATATATAGGGTGTTCCATTTAAGAAATTGAAAATGATCTTCACGTAACCTTCATGTGACTCTTCAAGATCAAATTAATGGTACCATCTTATGTCCCCCTCGAAACCATACAACTTTTGTCTGAAACATCTTTTTCTAAAATTAAAAATAAGAAAGTTATTTGGGGTGGGGCATTAAAATGGGACACCCTGTATATATTTTTTTTTTTTTTTAAACATGTATGAAATATATTATATATATGCATGTATATGTAAATCAATAAAAATATGATATTATCTCATTTCAATATATTTAACGCAATGCAAAAGATTGCATTTTCTATTATATTATGCATGCTTCAAATAATAATGTCGGTAATAGCGTATCTAAAAATGTCGATATTATCGACATTTTTAATTACATTTAGATGGGGGCGCTAATCCGTCGGAGTTCGCCCGTCGCTTTAGGATCCCCTTAACAACGGTGAAGACTGTTATTAAACTTGTTACATCAAAAAAAGTTAAATACAAGATTGATACAAATATTAATATTAAAAAAGCTCCTGAATTCGACCTAATTAACGGCAAAATCTTAAAGAAGAGCTGCTAAGGAAAGCAACTGTCAAATACAGGTACCTGTTCAATGCTTTCCGGCTCAAATACGAGCCTAAAAATTGGAAAATAGCAGAGGTTATCAATCCCAAAACTAGATAAACCAATGTGAAAAAGGTAGCTTCGTATAAATCGATATCGTTACTTCCAATTATTTCCAAACTATTTGAAAAACTGCTATTAAAATGACTCAGACCAATTATTGAAAGTCATAAACTAATCCCGCCTCATCAATTTGGATTTCAGGAGGTACATTCGATAGAACAATACATCGAATCACAGACATCATTGAAAGAAGCCTAGAAGAAGAAAAAATTGCTCGGCAATTTTCCTAGACATAACACCGGCTTTTAGACAAAGTCTGGCATCGGGGCCTGGAATGGAAACTAAGAAGACTACTTCCGAAATCTTTCAGTCTATTTCTAAAATCATATATTTCAGATAGATTTTTTCGAGTCAAACAATAAGATAAAGTTACAATCTTTCGCAGGAGTTTACTGCCAGAGAAGTGTACTGAGAATCAATTCTGTACTTACTATACACTTGTGATATCCTGTGGAATGAGAGAGCCGTCATTATTTACTTATACTTACTACTTTTACGAATAATACGGCTCTCTTTTCTATTGGTACTAAGAAGAAGCGACTAACAAACTATAAAGCGCAATAAACAATGTCACAATGGATTAAAAAGTGGCATTAGTCTTAATGAGAATAAATCACAGCATGTCAACTTCATCAATTACAAGTACCCTGGTCTTCTTGTGTATACAAAGTAGCTATTCCAATGTCTAACACAGCAAAATATCTAGACATGACTTTGGATACTAAATTACGTTGGAAAGAACATGTAAAAAAGAAAGGAGCTAAACCTCAAATTTAGCAGACTGTATTGGCTGCTGGGACGTTGCTCCTAGCTGTCCGTGTATAATAAATCATTGATATCAACAAGTTCTAAAGCCAGTTTGAACTTGTAACGTCGCTATTTCGCGCGGATCGCAGAACGGATAGCCGTCGGTTCCAGGAGGAAGAAATGCTCTGAATGTATTTGTAAATGTATTTTATTTTACCGTGTGGTGTATACAAGTGTGTGTGTGTGTGTGTGTGTGTGTATAAATTGTTCGGTATGGATGCTTGTGTGTATATAAATTGTTCGGTGTGGATGCTTGTGTGTGCGTGCGCGGACGCGCAGGTTTCGCGCGGCGTGAGAAAGATCGGGCGCGCGGTCGACAATCGATATATCGATTGTCCCGGATGTGTGTTCCTCGTTTTTGCGCGTCGCTCGGTGTCTTTATTTCAGTGGAGTCGCGTGTAATTGCGCTGGTTCGGCGGTTAGGATGGGATAATCCGCGGATTTAATTCTCGTACGGAGAATCGCTGTTTTTACGATGCACCGATTTAACGGGCGCGTTTCTTCGGTGCGCAGCGGCGAGGTTTTTGCTGCGCTTCTTTCGCTGGTTTTTGTGGCGGTTCCCGTATTCCAAGCGCTCGGCTTTAATTCGGGAGTTTAATTATTTAAATTCGCTTCCCTGGATGGATTTTGGGTTTTCGGAAGGCGTCGTGACGCTAGCGAGCGTCGGAGGCGGCTCAAGTTCCACCTCGTGACGTGAGACGACGTCCTAATTAGGATATTCTTTTGGTAAAGAGCGATATTGAGCGCCGATATCGATCGGCTGAGGCAGCGTTCACACTACCTTCGGCTCGTATTGTCGCTTGGAGTTTTTTCTTCGCTTAACTTGCCTTCAGACTAGCTTTCGCTCGAGAGGATCGGAAGGATCTGATCTTAAGTGTCACCGGGAGCCCTTTTTATACTGCTAATTATGGCCCGCGCCGGCGTATTTGTTATTCCCTCCCACCGGCCGGCGGAAAAAATAACGGTATAATTGCGCGGGGGTTCTCATTCGTCGGCTCCCGGTGACGGTGCTCGGGATGCCGTGCGGTTCTCAATCGGCGGATCCCGGCCGACGGTGTTTCGTCGGACTTCCTACCCGGCTTTTTGTTAGGTTTTAAAAAGTGGGCACACAGCCCTCTGCCTCTGCCCGACCGGTGGTCGTCGGGCGGCAGCTTCCGGCTGATGTTTTGCCGGGACACGATGCATTCCGGGGTGCATCATTACAAACTTACGGTGCGCAATTATAGGGATGCGCTAGGAAAACACATATTGAGATAATTCAGAAGTTCCAAAATAAAGTATTGCATTGTGTAAAAGATTCCACTAAATACATGCGCACGAATCGCCTTCATCATGACTTTAACATTAAAACAGTTAAAGAAGCCATAACAGAGACTGCAATGAAACATCAGCGGCGACTGATGTTTTATATAAACTCTGAGGCATCTCCTTAATACTACGGGAAGGATAAGAAGATTAAAGAGATGTAAACCAAATGACCTCGTCCCAGTTAGATAACACAAAAGTAAAAGTTGATGCTCATTGACAAAGGTTAAATGAGCCACATTATCTGTTAACCATTAGTTATAAGAGCAAATACTCGTTATATAGATGTAGTCATATTTAAAAACAAAAAAATAAGTGAAAAGAAACCTTTCTTGTATTATTAGTCGCACACGAAGGTACCGTTCTAAGGTTTAATAATGCAAGTAGAACTGTCTATTTTCGAGAGTTGTGTCCATTGAGACTTTTAATCAGAATATCTTAATCTAAAACATATGAAAAATTCAGCTAATTCAATGGAAAGTCATTTTCCATTAAATTAATACGAGGGGAGGGGGATTAAATTATTAATCTTTTATAGATATTAGGAATACATCAATAAGGAACTCAGCAGCAGAGTATTTACTGATTGTTTAGAAGGTTCTATGATCAAAACCTGAGAAAACCCCGTTATTTTTCCTTTACTCGTATAAGATTTTCAGATTTTGGACTCTAAGAAGAAAGTGTACGTCATAGTGATATGGCTCGGCATCATTCGTCGCTCGAATATCATACCGACTTTAGATATATTTGAATTTTTAGGTATACATATTTAAATTTTTACAAATACAGCCAGTGCAGATTAATACGTCTGACACTGACTATACGTCGAACACTGACTAACCGAAATGCTTTACACATGGAAGCAACTTTGTTTTTTTGTAGGAGAATCCTGTACGCTATTATGAAGTTCCACTGTATTCACTATGTATTACCAGTATAAGTAAGAACAGTATGTACACTTTGCATCAGTGTCTTTAATTTTTTTTTATGGCCAACCATCCGCCATATTGTTGATTGTGCAAGCGCGCTTTAATTTAAATAAGTAAGAAACTTAACAACTATTAATAACTATTACAGTTCAAATCTGCAGATCAACATTTTAATAATACTTAAATAACTTTACTTTTGATAATTTTTAAATAATTATTACTATTTAAAGTTTTATTATATATATTTTATTTAATAATCAGAGAGAGGTACCATATACTATGTAATTGTATTAATATACAAGGTGTCAGGAAATTTTTGACCTTCACGAAGTAAGGAAGTAGATTGGCTCAAATTAAAAAGGAAGGACCTGTATTGTTTTGTGATTGTCACAATAATTAACGAAAAATTAAATAAAGAAGATCGGCCAATGCGCGTGGCTGGAAGCACACGACGGCGAAGGCGGTCTGACTGTAACATAATGGCAACACGCGGCGAAGCGGTGATTGGGGAGGGGAGGAGCGATGAGTGTGTAAGCGCGTGGCGAAGGCGTAGTGAAAAAACGTATATGCAACTTATACGTTTTTCTCTGCCTTACTTTACGTTCACGACTGCGACAGATGTAAGCACTTATCTCATTCTCTCAATGTCTCATTCTCTGTCATCAGCCCAACCTAACTCATGCATGTATGTCAGTACTGCCAGACGACAACCGCCATGTTCTTGGTTGTGTCACAGTAGCCATATTCATTTACTAACTTTTCAGGAGAGTGTACCTACTGTTCTTACTTATACTGTCGTATTACTGTGTATTAAATACTATATTTACTATGTATTGAGTAGATCATTATAACTGATAATGCAATAATTGTACATGCGATTAATATGTGCAAAAGTGTGCCATAATATACTATAAAAGATAATATATAGAAGATATAAAAAAAATATTTTATCATTTACTTTATTATTTCCTGATGTTTTCTAATGCATGATATGATATCAATTTCATTAGTAGCTTGTTCCACTTCGGAAGCCAATATCTCTAATTTAACTGTAGAATAGAATAAGATGACAGCAATCATGATATCTACATCAAGGCAGAAGACAGTCTGTGTGATTGTAAATATTTGCATAATATAGAGAATAAATTTTCGTAACAATGATTCTGTCGAAAACGGATACCACACATCTAAAGGAAATTCTTGAGATAAAAATAACGGAGAGAAAATGACAGTGATTCCTGCTACAAAGAAGGATATTGCAACAGTCGATATAAACATTGCATAACGGTTTACATATTTCTGTAGAACGATTCTTTCACGATATTTTGAGATTTCCATAAATTTTTCGATACTCATCAACAGACTCTAAAATAAATATTTATAACATTAGATAGAATTAGAATAAAATATATTTCAAATAAATTTATATATTTCAAATAATTTTTTTATACTCGTATATTTCATATATTTAATATGTTGTATAATTATCTAGCATAAAATATCAGATTTACAGAATCAAATACATTTAAAATTTGAACACGTTTATTTTATCAACATAAAACATGTATCATGTACAATATATTTAATAATTACCACAAAATATAATCCACACAAAATTTAAGACTTTAATTTCGTGTTTATGATAGTGATTTCTTAATAATATTAATTAGTAATATAATAAAAGTAAAAAGTAGTAATATAGTAAAAAATACCCACACAGCATATTATATTAAAAGATAACGAAAAAATGTCTTTTCTAAGTTATCTTTTCGACAAAAAGTTGTTCTATAAAGACATCTTTTTGCTTTGTCGAAAAAGGTGACAATAGTATGTGGCACGTGTTTCTTCGCTTGTCGCTATGCGGCGAGCAACTCTTAACTTATCTCGTATTTAATACAATATTTATTACGAAATGTATATAAAGAATTAGTAATTAATATAAGAAGCACATTTTTGCCTTTTACGAACAATAATGCAAGAAAGAGGATACTGCTCACACGCATCAATCAGAGAGAGCCACATATACATGTGCTACGCAGAATGATTGTATGCGTATGAGCCGCATCCTTTTCCTGACATTCCTGTTTATCAGTTTAATTTCTGACAAATTGAAATTAAAATAAGTTATTTAATAATCTGGATTCCTTGTTAGGATTCAGAATATTAAACAGATGATTAGAAATTAGGCGAAATAGTCCAATTGGAACAAATGAGAGAAATAGTCCATTTATTGTGTGTATTGACGTATTCTTATTATCGAGTGTCGATAATCTATATAGAATCAATCAAGTCATCTTTTAGTCATCATATGAACAAGACTAAAAAATCACTTAATTCGGGTCATGAAACTTTTAGTCATCTTTTAGTCGTCGACTTAACGATGTCGGTAAAAGATGTCTGTGACAAAAATATGTCCAGTTTTAATAATACTTTTAGATGACTTAGTGCTGTGTGGGTAGTAAAATATTATATATTTAATAATGTGTGATATTTAGTGGCATTTTTTAACAATCGATAATATATTTGTAATAATTATTGACTTTAATTTATATATCAAAATGCCATAATTTTGACACACCCACATATGTACACCTACACATATACATACGCGTGTGCTATACATGCATATACATATATACACGTACATACATACATACATATACAGGGTGTCTGCTAAACATGCGGCAAAAATTCAGGGGGTGATTTATTGGGTTATTTTAAGACTTTTTTGTTATTTGATGATTTTCGAAAAAATGCTTTGTTTCGAAAATAAAAGCAGTAAAAGTTTTTTGACCAATTTTTCGAAAAAAATGCTTTGTTTCGAAAATAAAAGCAATAAAAGTTTTTTGACCAATTTTTGTTTTTTTTTTTCTTGTAATTTTCAATAATTTTGTTAAAAAACCTGTATCGCCTGTTATCTATGGAATAAAAAATTGGTCAAAAAACTTTTATTGCTTTTATTTTCGAAACAAAGCATTTTTTCGAAAATCATCAGATAACAAAAAAGTCTTAAAATAACCCAATAAATCACCCCCTGAATTTTTGCCGCATATTTAGCAGACACCCTGTATATGTAGATAATACATGTACATTTACCTGCAGTTGTCGTTTTTTAATTCTGCACAATATTGAATTAAAAATAGCTTCGGTTAAGGCTGCTATGTGAGATATATTCTTCATTAATATACTGACATCGTTTCGAGATTTATACGTTTTTATTATCATTGGTATCCATACTGCTGCCATAAATATAAAAATAGCAGAATAATAATAAAGATCACGAAGAAAAAGTTCGTTTTTTTTAATATTCGGACGTGCAGGCCATATATTCGTAAAGGTTCCAAACACTCGAAGAATATAAAATATCCGTTCAAACTTTACATAGATGATTGCCATATTAGGCATCAATGCTTGCTACATAAAAAGATCTTGATAAAGCATGAAATAGCACATTAAAAAATGCTGCAAGAAAGAACAAGAAGCGGCAGTTTGAAGCAGAATAGTACAATCAATAATGCATTAATCATATGTCGACATATAAGCGGGAGAAAGTATGTGATCTTTCTTATGATAATGATATCTATGCCACGAGAAATAAAACTGAAACACATGCATTATATAATACACATAAATGCTTGAACAATTGCAATGGATCTATAGACATTCTTATCGATTCTTTTTTAAGTTATTCTATAATTAAGTTATTCTATAATTTCTGTAATTTTATGGTAGCATTTGCAATAGAGGGAAAGTAAGATAATTGTATCTCTATACACGTAGTATTACTTCTTACAAGGAAAGGGTCGGAAGTGTCCCCCTCCGATTTTAATGAGCTTTGAATATGTTGTAGTCTAGATCAAAATAGGAGACACGTATTTTTTTATAAGTGCTGAGTCGGCCGTTAAGGGGGTGAAACACCTTCTTGAAAAAAATCGATTTTTTCATTTCTCAGCGGATACCGTCGAAGCGATAAGAGATATAAACAAAAGTTTCAAATAAAAGTTTTATGGTCTTTAATGTACTTCAAAATCATGTAATCAGATTTGTCGAAAATGTCATATTTTTCGAAATCCCCCCCCCTCCCTTTTAATGTTTGAAAATTTTTAAATTTGTCTCATAACAAAACTTATAGCTCATTTAACGACAAATTCAATCATATATAATAAAGTTGTATTCCGAAGTCACATTTTTCAGAAATAAATTAAAAATATCCCTATACACTACTATACGCCCGCTTTATCCGCCTTATGACGCTCGTTATTCACAGCGACAGTCATTTTTCTTCGCAAACTCACAGAGGCAACCATAAATTAGCAATAAATAATTTATGAGAATATATTTTTATAAATTATAGAAATTATATTTATAAATATAATTATAAATTATATAATAATTATAATTATAATATATGTCTATATTATGTGACAATAAATATACATATAATTTATATGGAAAAGTAATGTTTTTAATGCATGAAAAATAAAACTAGTCGGACAAGGAAAATTATTGATCAGATGCCGATGTTAATAGATTCAATTCTATGAATAAACAGATGTCGCATTCGCGAAATGAGTTGGTGCAATATATTATTTTATTAACAACTGCGTGCAGTGGAACACATATTACTATTAAAGCGTCTATCGAATATACGCGAGCGCGATAGTAAATATATTTATATATATAAGAAAATAATTAAAAGGATTATAACTTATAAAGCGAGCGAAAAAATGCGTCGCGATAAGAAAGTCAGCTGCCCGAAGTGCTGATACAGCCAGTATCACACGGCCAAGTCATCAAACAGAGGAAGAAATCACTCTCGAAATAGCGCTGAATTGCAATAAAATGCGAGGAAGTCTTCGGACTTCCTTCGCTTGCATTTTGATCACGCCACTTTAGAAATAACCAATGATTTTATTTGGTCATGCCACCGCGCGATCCTCCTCCGATAATCGTTCAGAACCGGAGGCGTTAAAAGCCACCGCCTAGAAGCGGCGGACAGTCACAAATCAGTTATCAAATAATTAACAAGTGCTCGAGTTAATTAACAAGACTAGCCGTTATCCTGAAAAAACAATTGTGCCCCACGCACACAACAATACAGTATGTATGTACTTTTTCGATTTTTAAAACTTTTATAGTTTTTTGCTTTTACTTACACTTCATTCAAAATTGCGGTTTATCTGTTTTGTTTTAATGTATTTAAATTATAATTAATATTTTATTACTTTATTTAAGTTATGTGATAAAACTGTTCTATTTTTCATGAAACTCGGAAAACGTAACAAATTATTAATACGCATTAAATAATAAAATATTTTTGTTGCTAATAAGTATTTTTTTGCTAATATTTATAAAACAAATATACATAATGTTAATAATTTTTTTAGATAATGTTTAATCCAAGAAATGTAGCAGTACTGCTATACACTGCACTGTATATGACTGGGGAATTCCCAGAAAGTCCTGTTACAACAGATGAAAATGAAACAAAAGACATGATGGAAAATATGCTTCGATCAATGTATGAAGAAGCGTTTGAAGTTTATGAAGAATCATCATTAGATTTTCAAAACGAATTTGATATACCTGAAGTAGAACCTGTAATTGATGAAGAAAGAGAAGAAGACACATATTTTGTAAAAGAAATTGAATGTGTTGCGGATTCTGTACCAATAGAATATAAAAGAAATGCAGTAGAGTTATGGAGAAGTGGAACAAAAAAGTCAAGAACTCTTGCATCTATAAGAAATAGATTTCGGAAAGTCACGTCATTACGTCAATTAAGAAGATGGGAGCAGCAAGTAAATCAAGGTGGCAACAGATTTGATAAACTGAAAGAAATTTCAACATATACGTTAAATAAATTCCATGAAGGTATTGAAAAGGGAATAATTATTCATGACATTGATATTGCTCGATGGGCTCTTCGCGCACAGAAGGAAGTAAATCTACTTGGGTTTACAGCATCATTATCATGGGTAAAAAGGTTTAAGCTTGCACATAATATCGTATCTAGAAAAATTACAAAATTTATAACAAAAAAAAATTTAGCGTCAGACAAAGATTTAGAAGCACGAAGCAAGTCATTTATCGAAAATGTTAAATCTTCTATTATACAATATGGAATTGAAAATGTATATAATTCGGACCAAAGTGGATTTCAATTAGAATTTCATTCCGGTCGTTCACTATCACCTATTGGTATTAAAAAAGTAGAGCGCATAGTACAATCCATATCAGCAACTACACATAGTTATACTATACAACCTATTGTTTCAGCTGATGGTAGATTATTATCGCCTCTGTTTATTGTTTTAAAAGAACCTACTGGAACATTTGGTCCAATAGTAAAAGAAACAATGTTTAAAGATAATAATATCTTTGTCATGGCATCAAAATCTGGAAAATTAACATCGCATCATTTTGAGATCTGGATAAAAGAAGTGTTTTTTCCAAATGTTGGACCAAAATCAGTGTTATTATTAGATTCTTGGACTGGTCATTGTCCTGATATAATTCAAAGAAACAAACCAGATTTTATAGACAATATTAATTTGTTAACTATACCAGCTGGAGCAACGGGAAAAATACAACCTTTAGATGTATTCGGTTTTCGTTTATGGAAAAATTTTGTTAGACATTTTTCAGATACCATCATGCTTTTAGATCTTGACGTCAAGCTTCATTCAAGAAACAATATTTTAAAATTACAATCATTAACACATAATCAATTTTCATCACCAAGGTTTAAAAATTTATTCAAATATGCATGGTATAAAAGTGGTTATTTAGAAAAGAAACCAGAAGAATTTGATACACCAGTAGATTTTTGTTTCAAAACTAATTTAAAACCAACATGTGATATTTGCGGTGAAATTGCTGTAATTTCTTGCGCATGGTGTAAAAAATCCCTTTGTATAAATCATTTCTTTCATGATCATCATCTTTGTAACCGATATCAACCATGAATATTTGTTATTCTTGTATGCAATAATTATGTACGGTATTTTATGTAATATTTCCATATACATATATATAATGACTTCGGAATACAACTTTATTATATATGATTGAATTTGTCGTTAAATGAGCTATAAGTTTTGTTATGAGACAAATTTAAAAATTTTCAAACATTAAAAGGGAGGGGGGGGGATTTCGAAAAATATGACATTTTCGACAAATCTGATTACATGATTTTGAAGTACATTAAAGACCATAAAACTTTTATTTGAAACTTTTGTTTATATCTCTTATCGCTTCGACGGTATCCGCTGAGAAATGAAAAAATCGATTTTTTTCAAGAAGGTGTTTCACCCCCTTAACGGCCGACTCAGCACTTATAAAAAAATACGTGTCTCCTATTTTGATCTAGACTACAACATATTCAAAGCTCATTAAAATCGGAGGGGGACACTTCCGACCCTTTCCTTGTCAGTCTTCATTGTCAGATTCAGACTTTCATACATACTCGCATGCAAAACGATTTTATCCCTCAAGGCGCGTTTGCAGCTCTTATATACTATTATTCTTTGCACTCACATATACATATACAATTTTATTTCTTAGGACGTATTTATTTATTCGAACGAATAATAGTATATAAAAGCTGCAAACACGCCTTGAGGGATAAAATCGTTTTGCATACGAGTATGTATGAAAGTCTGAATCTGACAATGAAGACAAAGAAGTATGAAAAATGTCACAATCGGATAATACGAATAACACACATTTTTAACGATTGACTGTATCAATTTTATTCAAACTAGACAATGCAAAGCGCGCGCTTCGCGCCATTTATTCCCTTTTATTATATATACATTTCTCACTGTCACATAAGCTGTCAAAATTTGTAATAATCACAAATGACAGCTGCTCACAACATGAATTGAGCGCAATAAAAGAATCAATCGGCATCGCGGAAAAGAGGCAACAATACTTCGAGACTTTCGAGAATCAACTTAACATGCCTTTCTTAGAATAGAATTATATGTATGGTGGAAGGAGAAGAACGAACTTCTTCATTCAAACAAGCCATCCAAGAAACAATTAAAAAAATAGGCTCTAATAAACTTCCAAATTGCATTGCGAGACGAATTCTCGTGCGTTCATAAAGATACACAACGCTCCAAAAAGCGATAAACGACGCGAGCGAGGAAGAGAAGCTTATCGGACCATCTATCACACGAGCACCTGGCTTCTCTAATAAAAATAAATTTGATACCAAACACGCGCGACCAATTCGAGACACAAATATGCAATGCTATAAATGCAAAAATTCTGGGCACAACGGACGCGAGTTTTAGATGTGGAGATATGGAGAAATGAGGAATTGGAAATGTGGAGAAATGGAGATGTGGAGAAGTGGAGATATGTCAACTCGAGACTGCATTGAAATAATATTTTTAATTTGAATTGAACTGTTTTG